AAGACAACTGTGAACAGGTTTTTTGCACCCATTGGATCTCATCAGAACAGTATCATCACCAAAGCTCACTGCTAAAAAAATCAAACCGTTACACGAGTGCCTCCACTTCCATACTATGAGGCCCATCAGTTTGGCGAATACCAACAGTAACCAAACCTGTAAATGATGAGAAAACTCCCATCATCAGAGCAGAAAAGTGCAGGCTGTAAAGCCATACGTTTCGAACAACACGCAAACGTGTGTAAAAAGCACACGGCCTTTGTGCATTATCGAAAACCTATCAGCATTTTCTGAAGAGGGAGCATTTATATTTCTCTTAAGGTCACCATCGGAATAACCTTTGAGCAAACGTGACCAACTGACAGGAGCACTACACATTTGCTCAAAATGTATTTTGATGATGACTAAAGACAATAGGACCACAAGTACGCATGCTCGTTCCATATTTTTTGTTGTTTGAAATGCCAGTGAGGAGGGCCCTGATCCAGTAGTGGATGAAAATGGCTATACGGGCACACCACAATATACGTTTGGGTTATGTTCTTGAAAAACTGAAAATAAAGTGAAAAAATTGCATATCGAAAAATGTGTGGGAACCCTTCATTCAGCAGTAGACTAGAAAAGGGACGTACATTATTAATATTCTGGTCTCTTTGTGCTTTTGTGCTGTTGGGGTATGCCTGAATTACTGCATTTTAAAATAAAATCAAGAGTTTCACCAGAGGTGAATCAAGAAACATCTCAATGGTTGGTGGAGGGGGATGATACCAAAATGTCAGGCTTTTAAAACTGGGGCATACATGACATTTTTTAATTCGTATTTTATCTGATAAATTATAAATAAAATAAAAAATTCAGAGTCTCAAGGATCCTGCACTAGGTTTCACCTCAGATTTGTACAGTTTGAGTCCCTTATTAAGAGTTATCTCACGGCCAGAACTGGGCTCGTGCTGCTGTCACCATCCCTATAATCTCACCCAGATCCGGAAGAACCCTGCTGCTGCTGTGCAAAAAGAGTGGAACAACGCGGACATTCAGAATAAACTCATTATTTATTCTAGACCAGGGGTAGGCAACCTGTGGCTCCGGAGCCGTTTGCTGCTCTTTGGCTGCCCCTGTGTGGGCAGCCGTTTAAGAATAAATAAATCTTAAAATATAATTAAACGTAAATATGTGATCAAATATGGCAGGGAATGAGTAACTATGGAATGTCTTGGTGATAACAAAATGTATTATTAAAGAATAACGAAGGGGAAATTAAACTAAATATATGCAATTTATTCCACGGCCTACTTTGTTTATTTAAGTCAGAATGTATGTTGTCATCTGCTGGAAATCTGTTGCTGTGTTAGTGTTTAAGTAGCTTTCCGTGTGATTGCAGCTCTCGAACTATTGTTGTCGAAGACAAAAAACTAAAATGTCTCTTCTTCTTCCTTGAAAGATTGGCGACCCCCTCTTCCAGACCCAAACATCGCACCTTATGACTTGTGATATTCCTCCTCGAAGACATTGGTGCAACCATCGACCGCATCACATCAATAGGCTGATGCACATCTCACCTTCAATCACGGAAAATAAAAAAACAAGCCACAGTCCGGTACTGTAGTTGTGATTGTGGCCATACAACCCAGACTATAGGCCATAAGCAAACCCAATCAAATACATGGGAGACAAAAATGGCTTCTCAAAGACAGGCAGAAATATAATCAGAGATACCAACTCATAAGAAATCCAACGCCATACACAGACATAGATACCCTTGGAGATCAAACTACGTTAAACACAATCCACTGTACGATTGTGGCCATGCAACACAAACTGTGGATCGTTGAGTAAACCAAATCAAATACATGGAGACAGATGTAGCTACATAGAGACACGCAGCCATAGTCATGGATACGTCCTCATAAACGACTTAGAATTACGCACTCATAGAACCATAGCGATACACAGACATAGACCCATGGAGATGGAGGCATGTACGATTCATGCCATGCAGCCAAAACTGAGCATTTAGTAAACCACTAAAGTCTGTGATCGTTCAACGGAGGAGGAATAGCAACAGGACACTAACTCTCTTCCGAAGCCCTCTCGTGGCTCGTATTCAGCTCCCGAACGTGACGTGCAGTGCCATCTGGTGGCTATGTACGAGACATCTTCTGGGAATCGTGTAATTTATCATCCTCTGGGATTGTTCCATGGCAATGCATGAAAGTCGCGATGCCTCTGAAATCGTCACGCATGTTGTTAGGTTTCACGCTGTTACCCTTATTCTCACGAGTTTCACAATGAATGACAATTGATAATTTAAAAAAATATCTCCCGCATACCCTGAACAGACTGTCGGGGCAAGTGCTGTTGGCGAGCACCTACGAAGACCGGCACGGCACACGAAGGGGTGGGTGGCCAGCATCACGCCCGGCCGCCTTTGTCTCCCCAGTGGCGATGTTTACACACAGCACCAGGTACTCATTTGAGGTTGATTCGACCTAGGCAGGTCCAGGACCGGTTTAGATAATCGTCACTGGTGTTGGCCGTGAGCGGGAATCGAATTCAGGTGGCCAGGTTCGTAGCGCAGCGCGCTAACCGCTACACCACCGCTTCATTAAAATGGACACCACAACCACAATTGAAGGTTGCAACAAACCTTTCATCCCTTGCTCAGAAACCGCCCGTTTCTGGATACATTCACAACATGCTAACACGCTGTAGTTGACCTCGCCTCCCACAACCATGAACCAACACGGCATGCTCCTCCTTACCCAATCTGCAGCAAGTTTCACGCATCACTCGCCGATCTCACACTGAATATAAAGGGTGGGAAGGTGCCCGTCCCGAAACCGATTTCAAACGCCAGTGCCGGCGGGGTCTCCAGGAGGGCATCTCGAGAGAGGGGGTCCGCAAACCTGTGGATCCGAAGCCGCACGCTGCTGCTTACGGATTGCAGTGCGGCTCTCGAAATTCGGGGAAAACGTTTCTCTTCTTGGGAGTCCCGTTCACCATGGGAGTCCCGTTCACCATGGGAGTCCCGTTCACCATGGGAGTCCAGTTTTACCATGGGAGTCCAGTTTTACCATGGGAGTCCGGTTCACCATGGGAGTCCGGTTCACCATGGGAGTCCGGTTCACCATGGGAGTCCATTTCACCATGGGAGTCCAGTTTACCATGAAAGTCGAGTTCACCATGGGAGTCCCGTTCACCATGGGAGTCCCGTTCACCATAGGAGTCCAGTTTTACCATGGGAGTCCGCTTCACCTTGGGAGTCCAGTTCACCATGGGAGTCCAGTTCCCCATGGGAGTCCGGTTCACCATGAGAGTCCCGTTCACCATGGGAGTCCAGTTTTACCATGGGAGTCCAGTTTTACCATGGGAGTCCAGTTTTACCATGGGAGTCCAGTTCACCATGGGAGTCCAGTTCCCCATGGGAGTCCAGTTCACCATGGGAGTCCGGTTCACCATGGGAGTCCAGTTCCCCATGGGAGTCCAGTTTACCATGAAAGTCGAGTTCACCATGGGAGTCCAGTTCACCATGGGAGTCCAGTTCACCATGGCAAAGAGTCGGCAACATGTGGCTCTGGACTGCTTCGTGACCTTCATTAAGGACCACCGTCTCGTGTTTTTTTTTTACCAAATAAAAAAAGTCCTTTTTCTTGTTCTTTTGGTTTTCCGACCCCTGCTATAATGGACATTTGGTCTAATCTTACACATCCTCCACATTATCCACACCCTACTCCACCAGGTGACCACACACGACCTGTCGATCGTACACTGCTGCTGTCATACTCATACTCCTGGACGGACCGAGGGCGATTTGAGAAATCCTGCCCCATTGTTTCAAACCCCTTTCCCCAGGGAGATGGAACCGAACCGGCGACTTTGGATTGCAAATCCGCGTGTGCCGACTATTTACACACCACGGGAGCTCCTCCCTTCATCTACCCACTCACCACCATGTCACAGCATCTTAGCGCACACACCGTGTGACCTTAGCCTGTTGGGGCGAGCGCTGGGTCCAGCACCTGTGGGGGTGGCCAGCAGCCATGCCCGGCCGCCTTCGTCTCCCCATCGCCACCGCACATTCGAGGCCACGCACAATCGCCATGAGGCCATCTCCCAACTTGCGAGTTTCTGCGTCTCCCAACTTGAGAGTTTCTTTATTATTTACACGTTTTTATATTTAACTCACTCCATCTGTTGTCGTATCCTCTAAAAAATATTGTAACTCAATTTTTACCCACTTCCCAATGTGCTATCGACTGCAAACTTGGTATAGGTATGTCATACTGATGACAAGACTATATTATAGCATTACAAATTTAAAATATATATTTGTAAACAATCTTTTTTACGGCTCTAATTGTCCACGCTCAACTCACGTTGCCTGTCAATCACCACGTGGTCCCTGACGCCACGGCAAGCCTCGGGGAGCCACGCAGAGGGGCGGGGGGGGGTGTGGAAGGAGGGGAGGGGCGATGGGGGCAGGGGCAGCTCGGACTGTACATTTAATTAAAGCGTGTTTATTTTTGTTTATAATATTTTATTTTGCCGCCAAAATAGATGTCGACAATTACGGTAGATACGTTCCTTAAAAAGTGCCGCGTCAAGCGAAAGACGCGCTCAACAAAAAACATTTCCCCCATGAGTAATAACTAGAACGTTTTATTGAGATCACGACGTGCCGAGCAGACGGCGAGATGGCGAGACAAATAACCGAGGGCACGTCGCCGCGTCAATGTATCACCACGCTCAGGCACGCAGCGCAAGAAAGTAGTTCGCCTTCGACCGCTCAGAAACCGCGTTATAGCGGGCGCGTTATACGGCGTGCCGTTCCGCGTTATAATAATTCGCGATCCATATTGGAAGCAAAAATTTAATCAAGATACAGTAATTTTGCTGTGATGGTGCCACCTGAAGACGGAAGCTTGTGTAAAGTGTTCCCAAATGCAAGAACCGTATTATAGCAAAAACGTGGTGTGAACACGCGTTAAGCGAGGACTTACCGTGACAGCCGTGCGGGGCTCTGCTGCTGTCCACCACGTACTGTTGTAGAGTGCAGATGTAATCCAGAAGAAGGTCGATGTAGCGTTACTTGTTATTCCAAAGAACTCCTCCAGTTAATTCACTCAAATTCCTAAACCTTAATGCGCCTCTTATTGATTTTACGAAGGTGTTTATCAAACATAAACTATCGAATATTCTAATATTAAAACTCAAACGCTGACTTTGCTGATAAATAACTGGCTACGATTTCTATTCTATACATTAGCTGCAAAAAAACGATCGTATTCGAATTGTGTAGAGAGTTTACACATTAAGTCCGCATCAGCGGTCCAGTAGAGGTGTGTCAACGTTACACTCGCGCGTGCACGGGGCTGTTAGCTCACGCGGTGCTCTGTTCACACTCATGGGGCGCTTTCTCAACACGCACCTAAAGCTTCTCCCTCTCACTGGCCTGTATGTACTACGGACTGCTTCCGTGTTACTTAACAACAAAAAACCGGGAGACACGGACACGCGATAGGATTCCCACAGATAGGCTCCCATAAATGTGACGCCAATGGATTCTCAGCCTCGTGGTTCCCACCTCGTGGCTCGCCGAGGCCCCGCACCCCACAGCTCCCAATGGGTGAGGAGCCACTCTGATTGGAGGAGCTACCACACGTGGGTGGGGGGAGCTCTACCGATTGGTCAAATCTGCACGTGCACGGCCCACGAAGTTTCTGTGGTCGTTCTTCTATTGGCTGTAAGGTTTCCTCCAATGCTGGTTGTGCAACCCCTCCAGTACTCGTAATGGTGACCGTCAACCCAAAGCACACAGACTTCCACCTGGATAATGCAACAGCAGCCACCGTCTCCACATTTAGTCAATCATAAGCCAGTTCGATAAGCAACATTTAGACAATCACAAGGCACCTCTTCAGTTCGATAAGCCATCACGCACTGATCTTTGAGCATAACTCCTCTCGTTATTTCTGTCGTAATTAAAAACATTTTTTCTTCACATTTTTTAAACAATTATCCATAACGTTTTCTGGGGGGGAAGGGGGTAGATCGCGTAAATATAAATGCGTCGTGAAACCCGCCACCACCCCGACGCAGCCAATTTGGTAAGGTTTGTCACGGAAATAAACCGTGCCAATTGGTTACTACTTCAGCACACCGGTTGTGTCTTGGAGAGTAAACCCAACAACATTTACAATTCGAATTACCGTGACATTTATCATTCTCATCCACCCCTTGCTCCCGTGTAGCACTTGCACGCACGCAAGGGCGCCCGGGTTAACGCAGAGGCTAAACAAGGCGTTTGGCCCTCGTAGTTCTGTCGGCTCTCCATGCCATGCTGAACAGCTGAGCGACGGTAGCGCAGCCGTCGGGAATTTAGTGTCGGTGAATTACGATCGCCTCATTCGTGACTTTGCCACAGCTCGAGCTCGGAAAACTATTTTTGTTCGAAGAAATGAGTGTCGTGGGTGATTTATGTTTGACGAATTCAGTGTTCGGCCAACCCAGCGGTGTCCTGGATCAACCTCGCAGAGCTTCTGAGATTTCACGAAATCGGCTGCAGTAATGGATGAGTTCATCACATAGGCCTATGTATACATCGCCGTAGTCTGCTTGGGTAGTGGCATCTCACCACGTAGGAAACTTGAGTCAGCTCTGCAGGTCTCAAATGAAGCAAGGTGACCAAAGATTGTCCCACCATGAGCCGCATGTAGAACACAAGCAATGGGCAGCTAAGCTACAGTCCCTGGAAGTCCCCGCTGGGCCTGCTGCTGCAGATTTTATATTTCACATGGATTGTAAACTATGCAGCAATGTACGGAGTGTATGCCACGTGCTCCCGTGACATGGAACTGGGATTATAGCGAGTTGACCAGTTGAAGTGTATTTGGTGATGAAAGCCCAAACAGCGTTAACACAAAAACTGTCCGTAGCTCATATTGCACAAAAAAAATCATCCTACATTGGAATCGACCGAGCTGCCCAAACTCGAAAAACTACAAATCTGCAATGATTGATGCAATGTGTAGAGCACAGTGCGAACTTTGCGAAAATAAAAAGGCCATCGGAACACTTTGCAATTGTATTTATAATATAATAAGCTGCTAACACTATATTTCACATTTTTATGACATGTACGTAACATCGGTTTCACTGAACACTTGCGTGAGTTGACGATCACAATAAATTAAACAATTTACAGCATTTTGTCAAGCCACTGCTAAAAGCCTGCTAATGTCGTGACAGTCAAATGTGGATTATTTGAGCATACTTCACGCTGTTCAGCGCAGGCGAGTGAAGGGGTGGGGGACATAACTTGTTCAGATATCATCACTCATTTCTTTAGAACTGCTTTTTGTGTTTAGTTTGTTGTCCTTGCGCCACACATCCGATTAGCACGGTTGGCTACGTACGGTGGGAAAGAAGTTCAACATACAGTACATACATACTCATGTTATAGCCATAACCACGAATTTAACTTCAGCCACTGGGTTCATTGCGCAGTGCACAAGCCACTGTACCACGAGTACTCAAACGTGTACGGTACACTATCGTTTTGTCATTGTTATCCACCCCTCATAGCTGAATTGAAATACAATTTATAACTGGCTTTGCTGCTCATTTATGTACATTTTTTGTCATTATGACGTAGAATTCTTTAATTGTGTAAACTATTGTCTCTCAACAACACAACTTCAATGTCTGTCTGTAACCCAGCACTGCGGAGGCATGGGTATGTGGATCACACACATGTTGCGAAACACCCTTCCCGTGGGGGGTCGAGGTGCCATATACCCTGGCTCGCCAGAAGGCAGTACAGCAAGTGGACTAATCTGCATCTTTTTCCATTTGTAGGGGGATAAAGTGTTGCTCCCTCGCATGTGTGGGGTTTTTCCAAGTGCCTCTGGTTTCCTTCTACATGTATACTCATACATTGTCTGAAACATCCTATAATGAAAAACCCACGTATCAGTACTCTCCTGAATTGGTGCTTCAATTCAGAGTGGATTTCCAGAATTTAAAATAATTTAATAATTAGTGGCAAGTGATATCTGAACCAGTCCTGGGTCCCCCTTCACCAACCTGCACTGACCAGGATGTTCAAGTATGAAAATGTATGTTTAACTTCTTTTACACCATACGTAGCCAACTGTGCTAATCGGATGTGCGACTAATGGTTGAATAATCATAATCCCTTTGATCGACAGAGCATGGAGAAGCTTTCATCCAGCAGTGGATTGATAGAGAGGTTTACATTTACTTTATGTAACGGACGACTCGTTGGAAATGTTTGAAAAGTGCCGAATCCAAGATTTTATAAAAACTAGTCAGGTACAGCATATGCTTTCATTGAAAACCAGCAGTCTGTGAGTCATCACGACCTATAGTGTCCGATGCGACCCGACAGTGGTGGTGGTGATGGTGCTGGCCCAATGGGGATCGTCACGAGAAGATATGTAATACATTAGGTGGGATGGATGTTTAATTTAACGCACGAGCAATATAGTTCCCCGTTTGAGGGGCATCACAAAAATAAACTTTGCCAAATTTAGTTCGGTATCAGCTTTTGGAAATGCGAGACATTTTGGAGGCAAATGACAAGGGAATGTACACGCCACGTCGTTACATCGTGAGGTCGAGACATTACGCAAGCCGTCCTTGAGAAGGAATTTTAAATGTTGCTCACACATGCACTTAATTTTTCCCATGGTCATTGCATTGTTGGTGGCAGTCATGGCCATATGAGACAGGATAGTACATAAGACACGGCAAAAAAACCCCGAAAATAAAGGAATAGTTCAAGTGTGCCAGCAGAGGGCACATGCCCTCTTTGAAAATAGGACTATGAGCCTACACGGGGGAGCTTGTGCATTTGTAAAAACATAGAGGTTAAGAAATGCAAGGCTTTTTAAAGGCGTCGTTTAACGTAAAAAAACCCACATGATACCCATTGTGGGTGTGCCACTCTTAGGACTGTGTTAATCTTGTTATAACCTAACCGTGTGCAGTCTATTACCGTTTACACTGATATTGTTTATGTGACTTGCATTATTACAATTCCCTGTAACCCCTGTAAATAATTGCACATTCTCTTGAGTTGTTTTTTGCAAACACTAGTTACTTGTTTTCTCTTTGACTTGATCCTTGCAATGGAGTTTGGTTATCTGGATAGGACAAATAAAACGGAGACCTTGTATAACTCGTCCTTTGGTTTCGTTTGCATTGAACCATTTCAGGAGGTGAGGTTGAGAATGTAAAAAAAAACAAGTTGTGACTGGACTCTGCGTCGTTGTTCATAGGTGGCTGTTTGGGTTGTCTGTGCTTGTGGGCCCTCTTTCGAGGAAGTTTGAGTTTCGACAAAATCAGAGTTTCTCCAATTTCACCTGTGAGCAGTAATAATACCAATCTGCTGACTCTAACACACCCCAACGCACCGGTCAACAATGGACAAATGAGAGACGACAGTAATCACTTTACTGGCAAACCAATGGTTATTTGTAGGCCGATGTTGTGCCAATGGCGTCCCCTTGGCTAGATTGCTGCAGGGCAATGGAATGGTAGAGATTAGTTTTGATGTAAGGCACTTTGCGGTGCTGAGGCATTTAAAGAAGCACCCTATAGATGCACATCCTTAATGAGTTACAAAATCGAATTGATAATTGAATAAGTCTTGAATCGTGACAATTTATAGAATCCATGGTGGTAGGGTGATGCGTTAGGCCCCTGGTAATACAATTTGCACTGGTTCTGCAGTAATGATAATAATAATCAAGAGCAATAATTTAATTTGCTGAACTTTAACCTTTCATTAACAGTTTACAAATTTTTAAGGAAATCAGCCTATAGAATTCTAGAGCGTTAACACTTCCTCTCTTCAAAAGATACTGAGAAGCCAATATATTGTGCCTTATGTATGTTCAACTTGACTTTAACGTCGTACTTCACAAAACAATAAAACAAAAATAAAATCATACTGGGGGCCTCAAATTTTAGTTTTTTTAAATATTCATATTTTTGTCATGAGCATAGACGTGACGAAAAGAGTGCCAAATGTCGGATTTCCAGCCATTCAATTATAATTTCTATCAGCGAGTTACGGCCATGTCTCTATGCGAAATATGTAACACTGGTAACAGAACTCACAGGTGCCCTCCTGTGTAGATGCGACACTCGACGAGTATCGAGTGGACAGGGCAGCCAACCTCGTCAATTAAACCAGAACACGAGGGCCTGCCCCATGACCTGCCGACAAGCCTTCACGACTTCACGTGCATCAAAGTGCATAACCAAGGCTGGCACGCGTGCTATAGTGATGTTACTGCCTATGACTGAATCACCCCAATGTGCCTGATCTTGTAAGATAAGGAGGTTCGCGCCTGGTTAGTACTTGGATATGTGAACAACAGGGCTTGCCAGGTGTTGTATAGGCATGAGGCTGAGGTAACCAGAAGGCAGTGTTGAGTGTCACCCTTCCATACATGTGGGGGTTCTCTGGGTACTCTGGTGTCTTCCCCATATGTGGATTGCACTCTCATACGAGACAAGTCACCGATGTGGTGGCATACTAAGCTCGTGAATTGATATGCTAATCTCTAA